CACGCTCAAGAGCTTCACATTTATCTCACTTTTGTGGGCACTTTGCTTTCGTCTCTATCGCAGAGCCCGCTAAGGTAGATGAAGCATTTCTGGAGGCTGAGTGGATTCAAGCTATGCAAGAGGAATTACATCAATTCAAGCTCAACAACGTCTGGGAACTGGTCAAACGTCCAGATCCTCAAAAGCACAATATCATCTGCACAAAGTGGATCTACCGCAACAAGCAAGATGAAAATGGCCTTGTGGTGAGGAATAAGGCACGACTTGTAGCTCAAGGCTACACACAGGTTGAAGGAATTGATTTCGATGAAACTTTTGCACTTGTTGCTAGACTTGAAGCTATTCGCATATTACTTGCTTATGCTAACCATCATGATATCACTTTATATCAAATGGATGTGAAAAGTGCATTCCTCAATGGTAAGCTTGAGGAAGAAGTATATGTTGCGCAACCCCTAGGTTTTAAAGATCCAAAGCATCCTAACAAAGTCTTCAGACTGAATAAGGCCCTCTATGGCCTCAAGTAGGCCCCACGGGCGTGGTATGATACCTTGAAGGAATTCCTCATGAAGAAAGGCTTCAAACCCGGTTCACTTGACCCAATTCTTTTCACTAAATCTTATGATGGTGAATTTTTGTGTGCCAAATATATGTTGATGATATTATCTTTGGCTGTACTGACCAACGTTATACTGATGAATTTGGTTTTATGATGAGGGAGGAATATGAAATGTCTATGATGGGAGAATTGAAATTCTTCTTAGGTCTTCAAATTCGTCAACGACACAGAAATGAGGAAATGAAAGGGTTGAGGAAATGGAACCAGTTAGCTCGGTGAAGACAATGATTTGGTAGACCAGTTCCAACTGTTGTGATAGTTGTACGTCTGGTTAGGGCGGCTAGATATTTAAACCTGAGGACACACAGTCCCGGACACCCAGTCCTGAACACGCAGCTCAGGACACTTAGTCCTCATCGTATTCCCCTTGAGCTAAGGTCCCACAGATCTCACCCAATTACTCGTGGTAAGTCTTCATGTGACTTCCAAACCTTCACAGACTTGGTCACTCGGCGATCCACAATTTCCTCTTGGATGCTCTAGACCATGACGCCTAACCGTGTGGAAGATGCACAGTCTTCAAAGGTAACAAGTGTCGGATGCATGCAGGATCAATCTCTTCAGTGATGCTCAATCACTTTGGGTTTATAGGTTTTTGTGTTTGGGTTTTCCTCACTTGATGATTTTCACTCAAAGTCCTCGAAGGATGTGATGCTCTCAAATGACAAGTGTCAGTTTCTCTCGGAGCAGCCAACCAGCTAGTGGTTGTAGGGGGTGGCTATTTATAGCCTAGGGAGCAGCCCGACATGATAAGACATAAATGCCCTTCAATGATATGACCGTTAAGTGGGTAGATATTTTGGGACAGCTGGCGCATAGCACAACAACGGTCGGAATTTTGAGTATCAAATTCCTCAGGGCTATCATGTTCCTCACAGTGTAGGCAATCCGCGCTGGTGAATTCCTAACTCCTCAGTCAGAACAAATTCCTCGGAGACAGAAGAACTTTGTCTCTGTCACTGAAGAAATCGACTGAACTGTATGAGATTTCCAATGGCTTCACTCGAAGGGATTGGTAGGTGTAGGATTTGAGTTGAGCAACACTTGGAAATTTTTCCTTAGTATTTCCTCGACCCCTTTAATAGTACGGTGTTTCCTATGACTCAAGAAGGAGAAAAAGAAACCGCGAAAACAAAAAGTCTTCACGCTTCATGTTCCTCGAATGAATACCAAGTCTTCAGGATTACACCAATTTCTTCACTTTCAAAGTCTTCAGAAAGTATTCAGGAATACAAAGTATTCAGTCGAAGAACTTCATTTTCAGGGGTCGATTTTCTCTGTAAATATCAAACTCCTCATAGACTTATAGACCTGTGTACACTCACAAACGCATTAGTCCCTTAACCTATAAGTCTTCAATACACCAAAATCACTAAGAGGCACTAGATGCAATTACAACTACAACAACCACGTTTCTTAACGCTTCGGCTTAGCGATCTAAAGGGTATGTGGATCCAATCTCTCCTCTCATAGATGTTCATATCCTAGATTGATCTTGGTGAGCGTAGGAATTTTTTTATTTCCCATGCAACGTTCCCCAACATCAATAATATGTTATCCACACATACTTATCAGAAATGCTATAGAGTTCCCACTCACTCTCTTGTAAATACAAGTTTCTTCATAAACTTCGTATAAACCCAAAAAACTTTGATCACCTCATCAAAGCGTATATTCCAACTCCGAGATGCTTGCACCAGTCCATAGATGGATCGTTGGAGTTTGCATACCTTTTTAGCATCCTTAGGATCCACAAAACCTTTGGGTTGCATCATATATATCTTTTCCTTAAGGAAAGCGGTTTTCGCATCCATCCGCGAGATTTCATTAATAAAATATGCAGTAATTGCTAACATAATTCTAACAGACTTAACCATTGCTATGGGTGAGAAAGTCTCATCGTAGTTAACTCATTGAACTTGCCAAAAACCCTTTGCGGTCAGTCGAGCTTTATAGACAGTGACATTACCATCAGCATTTGTCTTCTTCTTAAAGATTCATTTGTTCTTGATGGCCTGTCGTTCATCAGGTAAGTCTATCAAAGTCCACACTTGATTCTCATACATGGATCCTATCTCGGATTTCATGGCTTCTAGCCACTTGTCAGAATCCGGGCCTATCATTGCTTCCTGATAGTTTGTAGGCTCATTGTTGTATAACAACATGACTTCCATGACAGGATTACCGTACCACTCAGGGCAGTACATGTCCTTGTCGACCTACGAGGTTCGGTACTGACTTGATCCGAAGTTTCATGATCAGCATCTTTAGATTCCTCTTCAATTGGTGTACGCATCATAGGAACACCTTTATGCGATGCGCTACTTTCAGATTCAAGTGAAGGTTCGATAACCTCATCAAGCTCTATCTTTCTCCCACTCACTTCTTTCGAGAGAAAACTCTTTCTCTGGAAAGAATCCATTCTTGACAACAAAAATTTGCCTTCAGATTTGTGATATAAGGTATTATATGAAGATGCATTTCTCCTCTTTGGATTCGAGCTTATCACGCATAAGTACCGCATCCCAAAACTTTAAGAAACGTCAACATAGGTTTCTTGCCAAACCATATTTCGTATGGTGTCATATCATGGATTTAGATGATACCCTATTTAAAGTGAATGTATTTGTCTTTAATGTATAATCCCAAAATTATAGTGGCAAATCTTCATCTCGACCGGAGGCACAAAGAGTTGCCCTCAACCTACTGCACATATTGAAAATATTTATTATTAGATTCCTTCGGGTATGATAGAGAAACTGCTAGCTAATTTTTATGTAGGAGATGAAACAATACATCCCGATATGCACTTAATCTACGTGGATGGAATTTATGGATTGTTTAAGTTTGCAGGTTTATCCGACGATGGGGTTAAGAAAAAGATTTTCCCTTTATCTTTGGAGGTAAAGACATTGGCATGGTATATCATATATGCTATGTGATGATATTGAACATGCGATTGAAACCGATTGAAATTGCAATTTCACCGGAAGTTTTATCCTATGCATCTGGTTCATCGTAACCAGAATTATATGTATATTTTTTGGCCTCGTGAAGAGAAAGTATCGTTTAAGCTTATGGAAGGTTTAAGTACATTATGTACAAATGCCCAATCATTAGCTCTCAAGAGAAATTATCATACATAATTTTTATACTCGGTTTTCTCATAATGATCGATCCATGCTTGATTCCTTTTATACTGGTTATTTTACGAAAAACTATTGAATTCAAACGAGGTCTTCTGAAAATAATTAAACACAACTCTGAAGATTAAAAAGTCGACAAAGGTAAAACCAGGTATAAAACTTGAGTTTTGTGTTAAATCTTCATATTTTGTTTGAATAAGCTGAACTTGTAGTAGCCCTTACCCTGCTTAATGAAACCTCGGCAATTTAAAGATGTCGAGGTTTTGAAGTTCCATTGTGCATTATCTCGAAAAAAAAGGTCTTATTGTCCATTCCGTAGCATTAGGCTGGTCACAATGGGGAGGAACTTAGGAGTAACATCACACACTCCAATACAACTTTACTTATGTGTCACATATTTAATGAAGAGAGAGGTGCTTGTGGTAACTAGCTAAGTTACCGGAACATCACACACTCCAAAAAACAATGAGTCTATAACCTAATAAATACATTGTTGCATGACACTATATAGATATTCCTACCCACTGTGGAGATAGTAACATAGTCTAGGGAAGTGTCTAAGTTACTAGACTATGCTCTTGCCCATTGTGACTAGCCTAATAAATACATTGTTGCATGACACTACATAGATATTCCTACCCACTGTGAAAATAGTAACATAGTCTAGGGAAGTGTCTAAGTTACTAGACTATGTTCTTGCCCATTGTGATTAGCCTTAATACACAGACATAGGCATGTGGTTGCAAAAGTACATACTCCTGCTCCATAGGTCGGGAGTTACATTATTGTTTTTCTAAGGCAAAGTTACATTATTGGTGGACCAAGCCCGCATCTTTACTGGAGAAGAAATAACACCGACAAGTGGGCCATATAGAAAATTAAAACACGTGACCACTCCGTCGATTCCCATAGAGACCTGGACTCCCGCGGAAAGTCCAAAACGAAAACCTTCCCCGCCCCATATGCCCCCGCCCTCCCGCCGCTTCCGGATCCGAACCCTCGCGGCTCCGTCCCTCGCATCCACCGTCCAATCTCGCGCATCCGACGGCCCAAACCAGCGATCCGCGTGATCGCCGCCCATTGGCTGTCGCCCCGTCCCCACCCTCCTATATATTCTCCCCCCGCGCTGAGCGAAACCTCCCACCTGCGTCCCTCTCGCCTCCACCGCCTCCTGTCTCCTCGCGCGTTCCGTCTCCCAGTAGCGGCTCCCGTCGTTCCCCTCCTCGGTTGCTGAGATGGCCGGTCGTGGGAAGGCAATCGGCGCCGGCGCGGCCAAGAAGGCGACGTCCCGGAGCTCCAAGGCTGGGCTGCAGTTCCCCGTGGGAAGGATCGCCAGGTTCCTCAAGGCCGGCAAGTACGCCGAGCGCGTCGGAGCCGGCGCCCCCGTCTACCTCGCCGCCGTCCTTGAGTACCTCGCCGCTGAGGTGCGTTTCTCGCGGATCTCATCCTTGCCCCTGTTCTCGCGGTATTCTATTCCTTGATCCGGTTCCGTCGTGGGTTCCGACAAATCGGGCTATTCTTAGATCTGTTTAGAACCGTGCCGTCTGTTAATAGCAATGCGTCGAAACCGAAGTTATTTTCGCGTACAAATTCGTCAAGATAAGGTTTCTCGGGTGCAGAATCGATGTGCTTTCCTTTGTATTCATTGCATTGGTTGCTGCTTGTTCTAATCTGGTCGTCCTTCCCCATATCTAGGTCCTGGAGCTGGCCGGAAACGCCGCCAGGGACAACAAGAAGACCCGTATCGTGCCGCGCCACATCCAGCTCGCCGTGCGCAATGACGAGGAGCTGACCAAGTTGCTCGGCGGCGCCACCATCGCCAGCGGCGGTGTGATGCCCAACATCCACCAGCACCTCCTCCCCAAGAAGGCCTCTTCCTCCAAGGCGTCCACCGTCGATGACGACGACAACTGAGGCCCTGTCCTTTCCCTCGCTGCCACCGCCCGCACCATGGATTACATTTGCATCACAAAGACGAAGGAGTTTCTTGTTTCGTAGGATTTAGTGTCTTGGTTTTCAGGAGAGTCCCGGATGGTATGGTATTAGGAGAATTTCTAGTTGGTGGTCGGATTGGTTGCTTTCATCCCATGGCTGTGAATATGGCAAACAAATTTTCGGGTGTTCAAACTCAGATGTAAGGCTGCTTGATCTTGTCCGGTTTCCATGGTTGAAGAAATTGAAAGGAACTCAACTTTAAGCTATTACCAATTTTGTCGCTCATTGTTCTAATCGTACCTGTTATTTGATTTGCCTGAAGGATTCACAGTGATAGGTTTTTAGTAGTATGTGATTACATCGTGCTTTAGTAAATTTGGTATTTCTTGTCGTGCTCTACGAATGATGTGTAACCAAGATGCATCTCCCTTTCTGGGCGATGCAGGCTGCAATGATTGAAGAACGTGCTGTTGAGCTAACACGAAATTGACTATTTAACTGGACTTACAAGTGCTCCACGGATTCCATTATGGAACGTTATATTTTCACAAACTTGATTCCAAATTAGTATCCTTGCATCCCACAACGATCGTTGCATATGCTTGCTTGGCAGTGGAGGTAGATGCATCACGGACGAAGGGCGCGCGCATGGCATACGGCTCAGGTGTTTCCCTCGACGTGTATCTTACTCCACCGGTTCCATATATATAAAGAAAAGAGTCGTGCTATACACACGACATATATAAAGAAAAGAGTCGTGCTATACACACGACATATATAAAGAAAAGAGTCTGACATATATACAGAAAAGAGTCGTGTTATACACACGACAAAAATCAGACGATTCACGCACGATGAATGAAATCTAGCCGGACAATCTAGCCGGACATACGTCTGATGGAAAGAGTACCAGCCGGCTCCAGGCAAATTTAACAATTTTGATTTGTGGATGAAATCATTTCATAAAATAAACTGTTTCTAAATTTTTTTCACTCAGCTGATTTTTTTGAGTGGCGCCCGACACGAAGGCGCCACACTGCACTGTGCAATGCCTAACTGATAGGCGCTACACGCCTGGCCAGCGTTGCACTTCGGACTGTCTAAAAATTGCTAAGTCAATGTGCAGAGTCTAAGAGATAGGCGTTGCATTAGTGGTTGCACTACAAAATGAAGCAACCACTAGTGCAACGCCTAGAAGGTAGGCGCTACAATGTATAGTGTGACGCCTAGCTTTCAGGTGCTGCACACTGACTTAGTAATTTTCGGATAACACGGGTGCGACGTTGGCCAGACGTGTAGCGCCTAGCTGTGAGGTGTTGCACAGTGTAGTGTGGCGCCTTCGTGTCGGGCGCCACACAAAAAGATCAGCTGCGTGGAATAGTCTAAGGAAATGATACTTGACATTAGAAAAGCTCATGGTCTAAGGAAATGATACTTGACATTAGAAAAGCTCATGGTCTAAGGAAATGATACTTGACATTAGAAAAGCTTTAGCAGACAAACTATACGATCTTGTGATAGGCTTAGGATTGGGTCTTGTCCATCACATCATTCTCCTAATGATGTGATCCCGTTATCAATGACATCCAATGTCCATGGTCAGAAAACCATGACCATCTATTGATCAACGAGCTAGTCAACTAGAGACTTACTAGGGACATGTTGTGGTCTATGTATTCACACATGTATTACGGTTTCCGGTTAATACAATTATAGCATGAACAATAGACAATTATCATGAACAAGGAAATACAATAATAACCATTTTATTATTGCCTCTAGGGCATATTTCCAAGAGTCTCCCACTTGCACTAGAGTCAATAATCTAGTTCACATCACTATGTGATTGCAATGAATTCAACACCCATGGGGTTTGTTCATATCTTGCTTGTGAGAGAGGTTTATTAGTCAATGAGTCTGAACCTTTCAGATCCATGTGTGCTTTACAAATCTCTATGTCATCTTGTAAATGTAGCTACCACACGCTACTTGGAGCTATTCCAAATAACTGTTGTACTATACGAACCCGATTTACTACTCAGAGTCATCTGGATTAGTGTCAAAGTTTACATCGACGTAACCCTTTACAACGAACTCTTTTACCACCTCCATAATCGAGAAAATTCCTTAGTCCACTAGTTACTAAGGATAAGTTCGACCGCTGTCGTGTGATCCATTCCTAAATCACTCTTGTACCCCTTGACTGACTCATGGCAAGGCACACTTCAGGTGCGGTACACAACATAGCATACTATAGAGCCTACGTCTAAAGCATAGGGGACGACCTTCGTCCTTTCTCTCTCTTCTGCCGTGGTCAGGTCTTGAGTCTTACTCAATATTCACATCTTGTAACATAGCTAAGAACTCCTTCTTTGCTGATCTATTTTGAACTCCTTCAAAATCTTTTCACGGTATGTATTCATTCGAAAGTACAATTAAGCGTTTTTGATCTATCCTTATAGATCTTGATGCTCAATGTTTAAGTAGCTTAATCTAGATTTTCCATTGAAAAACACTTTTTAAATAACCCTGCATGCTTTCCAGAAATTCTACATCATTTCTGAACAACAATATGTTAACAACATATACTCATCAAAAATTCTATAGTGCTCCCACTCACTTCTTTGGAAATACAAGTTTCTCATAAACTTTGTATAAACCCAAAATCTTTGATCATCTCATCAAAGCGTACATTCCAACTCCGAGATGCTTACGCCAGTCCTCAGAAGGATTGCTAGAGCTTTGCATACTTGTCAGCATCTTTCAGGATTGACAAAACCTTCTGGTTGTATCACATACAACCTTTCCTCAAGAAAAATGTCAAGGAAACAATGTTTTTTTACATCCTATATGCAAGATTTCATAAATAATGCAGTAACTGCTAACATAATTCCAACAGGCTCTTAGCATCACTACGAGTGAGAAAGTCTCATCGTAGTCAACTCCTTGAACTTGTCGGGAAACATCTTAACAACAAGTAGAGCTTTCTTAATGGTGACACTTACCATCATTGTCTGTCTTTCTTTTAAAATCCATCTGCACCCAATAGCCTTACGACCATCAAGTGGTTCTTTCAAAGTCTATACTTTATTTTATACATGGATCCTCTCTCCGATTTTATGGCCTCGAGCCATTCTTCGGAATCTGGGCCCACCATCACTTCTCCATAGCTCGTAGGTTCATTGTTGTCTAGCAACATGACTTCCAAGACAGGATCACGTACCACTCTGAAGTAGTATGCATCCTTGTCGACCTATGAGGTTTGGTAGTGACTTGATCCGAAGTTTCATGATCACTATCATAAGCTTCCACTTCAATTGGTGTAGGTGCCACATGAACAACTTCTTGTGCCCTGCTACACACTAGTTGAAGTGACGGTTCAATAACCTCATCAAGTCTCCACCATCCTCCCACTCAATTCTTTTGAGAGAAACTTTTCCTTGAGAAAGGACCCGTTTCTAGAAACAATCACTTTTGCTTCCGGATCTGAAATAGGAGGTATACCCAACTATTTTTGGGTATTCTATGAAGATGCATTTATCCGCTTTGGGTTCGAGCTTATCAGCCTGAAACTTTTCCACATAAGCATCGCAGCCCCAAACTTTTAAGAAACGACAGCTTAGATTTCTCTAAACCATAGTTCATATGGTGTCGTCTCAACGGAATTGTATGGTGCCCTATTTAAAGTGAGTGCGGTTGTCTCTAATGCCTAACCTATAAATGATAGTGGTAATTCGATAAGAGACATCATGGTATGCACCATATCCAATAGGGTGCAGTTGTGATGTTCGGACACACCATCACACTATGGTGGTCCAGGCGGTTTTAGTTGTGAAACAATTTCCACAATGTCTTAATTATGTGCCAAACTCGTAACTCAGATATTCATCTCTATGATCATATCATAGACATTTTATCATCTTGTCACGATGATCTTCAACTTCACTCTGAAATTACTTAAACCTTTCAATAATTCAGACTTGTGTTTCATCAAGTAAATATACTTAGCATCTACTCAAATCATCTGTGAAGTAAGAACATAACGATATCCACTGCATGCCTCAGCACTCATTGGACTGCACACATCAAAATGTATTACTTCCAACTAGTTGCTTTCTTGTTCCATCTTATTGAAAACAAGGCCTTTCAGTCATCTTGCCCATGTGGTATGATTTGCATGTCTCAAGTGATTCAAAATCAAGTGAGTCCAAACGATCCATCTGCATGGAGTTTCTTCATGCATATCTACCAATAGACATGGTTCGCATGTCTCAATCTTTTCAAAAATGAGTGAGTACAAAGATCCATCAACATGACTCAAATGGCAGTGCCACAAGTACGTGGTACTATCATTACTATCTTATATCTTTTGGCATGAACATGTGTATCACTACGATCGAGATTCAATAAACCATTCATTTTAGGTGCAAGACCATTGAAGGTATTATTCAAATAAAAAAAGTAACCATTATTCTCCTTAAATGAATAACCGTGTGGCGATAAACATAATCCAATCATGTCTATGCTTAACGCAAACACCAAATAACGATTATTTCGGTTTAACACCAATCCCGTGCGATGTTTGATCACATCAACCTTGGAAACACTTCCAACACATATCGTCATCTCACCTTTAGCTAGTCTCCGCAGCCTTTTATTTCGAGTTACTAACGCTTAGCAACCGAACCGGTATTTATTACCCTGGTGCTACTAGGAGTACTAGTAAAGTACATAATAATATGATGTATATCCAAAATACTTCTGTCGACCTTGCCAGCCTTCTCATCTACCAAGTATCTAGGGTAGTTCTGCTTCAGTGACTGTTCCCCTCATTATAGAAGCACTTAGTCTCGGGTTTGGTTCAACCTTAGGTTTCTTCACTAGAGCAGCAACTGATTTGCCGTCTCATGAAGTATCCCTTCTTTCCCTTTCCCTTCTTGAAACTAGTGGTTTAACCATCAACAATTGATGCTCCTACT